GACTGTGCTACCCAGGCGCCCCTCCATAGCTTTTTAAGAAAGAATGGGAAATAATTTTTTTTGAGACTTTGCAGTATGAGTATGACTTTAGTCTTCCCACAAATTAGTTATTTGTTGGTTTGGCTCATTTTAGAATTCTATGTATTAATCATTTTCCCTCACAATTTTAAAAGCATTGTTCCATTATTTTTCACCTTCCAGTGATGCTGTTGTGAAGTCTTACGTTATTGTATTCTTTATCCTTTGTATGAAACCTATTTTATCCCTCTGAGGGCTTGTAGGATCTTCTTTTTGTCTCTACTGTGCTTTAGTGTGGGTTTGTTCTTCTGTTTTCTTGGATTAAATCTGGAAATCATATCCTTTAGGTTTAGAAAATTTTCTTGAATTATTTTGTTGATGATTTCTTCCCTTTTTTCTGTTTTGTTTTTCTAGAATTCCCAATATTAGATAATGCATATTCTGGACTGGATCTTTTAATTTTCTTATGTTTTTACTCTGACTTTCCATTTCCTTTTCTTTTATACTCTTCTTTTTAAAAGAAATTTCCTCAGCTTTATTATCCACCCTGCAATTTTTCATTTCTGTAATCATTTTTATTTTCAAGACCTTAGTCTTGGTGCACACCCCTCTCTCATTTCTCCCCCCCCCGCCCAAAATTAGGGCTTCCTATTCTTATTTCATGGATGTACTATCTTCTATTGTTAACTCTCTGAAAGTACTAGTTATAGTTTTATTTTTTTGACAATTTTCTTGTGTAGACTCTATTCCTTCCATCTTTTTTCTTTCTTTTTTTTTGCTTGGTCTCTTGTTTTTTATATTAGATACTTTCTTCATATGTAAGAGTGAATGAAGCACTACTAATAAAGTACAAACATTTGTATAATACTTAGAATGTGCCAGACACTGTTGTGCTTCATCTATTTTCACTTATTTAATCTTCATAAGGACTTTAAGAGCTAGTTACCATTATTATTATTAGTAGTAGTATTAGTATCACTATGTGACGGATAAGGAAACTGAGGTACACAGTGTTTAAGTAATCTGCCCAGTGTAACATAGTTAAGTGGCAGAACTAGAATTTGAATCAAGGCAACCTGACTCGATAGTCTTTTCTTTTAGCCTTTATGCTATTCATCCTCTTATTGAAATCAGGAGCAAATTGGAAATTCTGTGCAAGTGGGTAGGGTTTGTCAAAGTAATGTTACCTGAGTGAACTGTTTTTTGTTTGTTTGTTTGTTTTTGATGGAGTCTCTCATGAGGTCGTTTTTCATGTGTTTAGATTCACCAAAGAAGAATTTTTTAAAAAATATTTATTTATTTATTTTAGAGACAGAGAGCAAGTGTGGAGAGGGGCAGAGGGAAGGAGAGAATCTTGAAGCAGACTCCCCCCTGAGTGCGGAGCCTGACACGGGGCTCAGTCCCAAGACCCTGAGATCATGACCTGAGCTGAACTCAAGAGCAAGTCGCTTAACTGACTGAGCCACCCAGGTGCCCCAGAGAAGAATCTTCTAAGATGATGACTAGAGACTGAAACCTAGCTGCTTGCAGTTTGGTTGCCAAGTAATCAAAGAGGATTTGGAGAATGGGTCTCAATATTTAATATAACTTTTAGTCCAGCAGTCTCAGTGTCTTCTAATCTGGACCCTTGACTTTATCCTGTCTAGGGAATAAACCTTCAGTCTTCTGTGATGAAGAACTGTAAGTTGTCCTGTTTTGCAGTTTCTGGAAGGGGATCTTGCTGTACATTTGCCACTCTTATTTTGAGTCTCACCTTTACCCAACTTTCATTGCCATGCATTCCTAAGCCTTTTGTAGATTCTTTGATGTAAATGTGATTGATTCTTATTTTCCCCAGTGGTAGTTTTAGATTCATCTTCCTTATATTTGCTTTCAACTTTTTTTGCAGTTTTCTCATTTCACATTCTCTTTGACCCTGTGTTTATGCAGAAACAAACAATCAAAACAAATCTTTGCTATCTTTTAGGAAAAGACTTTAATTAAAATTCATGTTTTTAATGTGCCATTTAAAATTCTCTGTTAGGTCTGTTGAAATAGATCTCAAATATCTCCCACCTGAAGCACTTCATGAGGTGCCAACTAGATATATCACCATCTGAAAACCTTTTCCTCCCACCCTGGACGTTTTTTCTTCTTTCTTAAGGCTGCTTTATAGCTCATATTCTTAACATTCACATGGTTTTCTTATACTCTTCCCCTCCTGCCTCCCCAGACCATAACTCCTTGAGGATCTTGGGTGTTCTCTTCTACAAAGTTGCTTAATAAAAATTTGTTACATTAAGTGTTGTATATATGTTTTTCTTATAAAATATCAGCAATGCATTAAATACCGAGAATAATAAAGGAGGGAATTGATACAATAGTGCAACAGAAGAGATCAAATTCAGATATAAAGAAGTCTGAGAATTGTTAAACTAGATACTGTGAAATCTTTCAATGTAGATACCTAATCATAGTAATCACACATCTTTCCTCCTGCCATGACACAAAGAATGAACTACATGATCTTCCAACATTTGAGCCAGGCTTATGACTTTATAAGTTACATGACAGATATATTTGGTGTTGCTGTATTATATTTAATGTTAAGTGCTAGAAATAGTCTAAAAAATTATAAATGCATTTTAGATAAAGTAATGTTTTAAATGTGCTGGAGTAGCTAAATCTATAAAGGAGACCACACTTGTAATATTTCCTTTTTAAAAACTAATTTTTAGTTTTTGTATTTAGTGAAGTTGATTTGTACATATCAGTGCTGTTAATTTTACTTTCTCCTGGTCTTTGTAATGTTCAGAAGGAAACAAACTATTGCAGGATTTGAAACTAAAATATTTGGAAAAATGTTAATGCTTTAAAATAATAATATTTCTTTAATTGTTATATTTTAAGAAATTCAAGACACATTTATCTTTTAAAATATATTAGTATTTCTTTGAAAATAAAGTAGAGGAAAACTGTCATCTTCATTTTAATATGTAAAGGTTGCTGGGATATGGAAAACATCAGTGATCATTGCTATATTCTTTTGTGGAGTTAAGTCAGTACTTAGGAAGGTGAGGGTATTCGGTTCATTACCACAGGCAAACAAGCTGAGGTGATTGTTAAACATGGCTATTTATTTTTGTTTTCAAGTTTTCTGGCATCTTACAAATAATTTATTGGGATGTGATTTACAAAAACACATAGAAGCATTACTCTAGAAATTCTGTTATTTTGAAATTGTATTATTTGGACACAGTGTTGTAGATGCTAAAAATATTCTTTAATTGTCTCTGAGATTCATGGAATACATGTGGAAAACACAAACTTAGTGTTTATAGTTTGACTTGGTTAATTCTCAGTATCCATATCACTCTTATTTCATAATTTCTTCATGAAAAATATAATCATATACAGATTTCTATTTGCTTGCAATACAGAATTAATGTGAATTCAATTTCAAACTAACCACCATCAAAAGTTTCTGAAAGTCTGGTTTATATTTTTTAAGTGTTGTATGTGGATGACTTGCTTAGCTTTGATTTTTGTGAGAAATACATCTTTTAAAAAAGTTTTCATCAAACTATTAAATTGCAGGTAATGGTGACAACAGTGGTGTCTCATTTTGGTTAATTTAATGTCCTTCCTTTTTATAATGTACTTCTGCCTCCGTATATTCCTTTTAGTGTCATTACCTACCTAAGTTTCTGTGAAAATAAATTTTCTTTGTCTATTAAAACAATCCTTGAGATTGTGTTTCATTGTTTATTTTTCTTTGACTAGTTTTTGAGTTTTATTTTTGAAGGCATTAATATTAATTTCATTGACAAGATAAGATCTGGCTATAGATGACTACTGCTTCATCACTTAAGGCAGAGTACCTTAGAAAATGCTTTAGAGTCATTGCTTAACATGGTTTAATTTGTTTAGCTGTTTTTTTTTTTAGAAGCTGGAGAAGGTTGTTTTCCTGTAACCAAGTCCATCTTGTATTAGTGAGTCAAAGAAACTATAATTAATAATTTCAATACATTCACTTTTGAAAAATAAAAAAGGAATCCAGTTATTATTGACCAGAGTATTACTTGTGGCTACTGATTCACAATTTATTGTGATTTTTTTTTTTCATTTAAATGTATACCATCTATTACTTGTTTTGCTTTTCCAGGTTTTTTTGATTTTTTAATGGTTTGTTAGATAAAAGCTTTTTCTTTTTCTTCTTTTTAAAAGTCCCAGTACTCATGGTTTTCTCCTTCCATTTTTGTGATACACATTAAGGACAAAATAAAGCATGTATTATCTTAACTGCTTGTCTCTCTTACATAGTTTAACTGTAAAGAAAAGAATTCAGGATATTCACTTGTGTTTTTCTCTTCCCTGGTCTCCCATGAATACATGACTTGATTTATCTTGATCAGCCTAGTAACTTGCTCCACATTTTTCCAAAAGTGCAAAGCAGTTTCAGCTAAAAATACACATATCAAAATGCTCCAGAAGTTGTGGCCACAGCTCAAAAATGCTGATCAATTTTGAAAATCTAAATCAACGTCGGCCATGAAACCGAGGGAAGAACCTTTGTGGTGGGGGACAGATTTCCAAAAATTCACCACAGTTCTGTTCTTAGCTGGAGTTTGTGCTGATGTTGCCAGACAACTGAGGAATAGATGCAAAAAGCAGGAAGCATTATTGAATTGAGCCCTAGCGCCAATTTGGGAAAAGCAAATTAAAATGTAAAAGAATATTTTTCCACTCCTGGCATCTCAACACAAAATGGCAAAATACGTGGCTGCTGAAAAAGTCACAGAAATTGCTAATTTTGCCAAAAAAAACCCCAGTCTTTTTGCATTAAAAAATGCATACCCATGTAGTTAAAAAAAGTAGATTTTTTTTTTATCTCAAATGAAATAGTTTTAATTTACAAGTCAAATACATTTAAGTCAGAAAAGTGTTTTGACATAAATGACTGTGTGTGTGGGCTTGTTTCAATGTCTTCTGATATTTTTCAGGTGCACTTGAAGAATGGATGATGATGATTTTGGTGGTTTTGAGGTATGTGCAATTACCTTATTTTGCTTATGTAATTGCTTTAACTTTGTGGGATTATAATGGAGCATACTATTTTGAAAATGTATTATTTATCGTTGGTACTCATGATCATTTCTTCATTTTTAATGTAACACTGGAATAAAAAAGTGAAATCAAGGAAAATGAAACATATCCTTTTTGAAAGATAAAACTAACTATTTGAATGCATGGTCATGCCCATGGAATGGTTTAAATAGACTTAATTAAGTGCTACTAGTGGAAGCATTAAAGAAGTTTTAAAAATTGTCAGCTGACGATTTTGCTGGGCTACATGTCTATTAGGAAATACTTGTGAGATGAAGGATGAGTATTGCAGATCTGTCACATATTTTCATGTTTACACCTGTAATGAGTTGATTTAGTGTATTAAATACATAGCCTTTTGGTGGCTTATAGAGCTAATTAGTATGTTTGTGTTGTTAGATTATTCTCTCAGGTTTAAGTTGGATGCTTTGTAAGTGGAAATTGTTAGCTGAAGAAGCACTGTCTTTTCCTTAATCCTTTTCAGTGTGTGTTCATTTTATTGAAATATTTTGTAACCCAGTTATTTTTATGGAGCCAGTATAGTCTTGCAGGAAAATCTCTGGATTAGGAGTCAGGATGCCTGAGCTCAAGTCCTGGAACTACCAAGTGAGCTCTGTGATTTTTTTTTTTTTTTCCTTTTTAGTAAGACTTTCACCTAATTTGGAATTAGAGATTCTTTATTAAAAATAAGGAGTTTAATTAATGATGTTAATAGGAGAAACAAGATATTAGGTATATATTCAGTATTCTGAATATCATGAAAAAGTGGTGTGAATTTTTTAAGAATAGGATCATTTCTTGTCCGTTGATCTTAATATCTGTCAGTGTGGACATTCCTGTTTTGTGCATTTCATCTGACACTGGTTTTTGTTTAGCACATTTGTATGTTTTTTGCATTTTCTTTAATCTTTTAGGTTTTGTTGGGTGATTGAATCTTTTACTGAAATTAACACTTAAAATTTTGTTAAAATTTTTTTCATTTGAGGATAATAGATGTTTCAGATATCATCTTAGTTTATTGTTTACAAGTTGTCAGTTATTTGAAGGTTTAAACTTAGTACAGTTTTCTTTACTTAAACCATGTTTGATTTATTACATCAGAAAAAAATAGAGTGAGTAGTTTTCCTCAGAGTAAAATTATACTTCCATGTTACAGTCAATGGGCCTATTCCTTTCAGTATTACATATTTACAATGTTAACCAATTATTCCAATTTAATTGGTTGTTAGGGTTCTTTCTTTTTATATCTGGTTGTAGAAATATGGAAGCTCTCCATCCTTGGTTAAATAAACCATGTTCATTTTTCATAGTTTATAGGTAATAGTTACTATATTCTATGTCACTTAGCTTATGTGGCAGATTGCCTCAGTTGACTTCTTTTTGGCTGACAACTCAACGCAGAATCCAAATTGAAATTCTGGTTCTTTTTCTTAGTAATAATTTTGCTGTGATCTGGACAATTAAGAGAGAGAAAACTCTTACCTACAAACTCAGCATTCAGTAATTGACTGTCCCTTACTTTTAAAACTGTTTAATAGGAAAGCTTGTTAATTTAAAACATCAGTTTTAGGAATTTTCTAAATGTTGAATCTAGGAAGTCCACGTGGTAGGTTATTGAAGAATATAGATGAATCCTGTTTGTTTAGATTGATCTCTATTAGGTCTTGTGCTAATTAATGAAAAAGATATACTTAGTTTAGAGTACTTAGATATAAAGTTCTCAAGTAAAAATGTGATCGAGGATATACAAAAGAAAATTTTCATTAGCAGGAGATGTATTTTAGTAAGGAAGGGAGATTTGTACTTAAAAATAACAGAGCGTGCATACTGGGGGTGGGGAGTAGTGGTTGGGGTGGTAACTATGAAGACTGAAAAAAAGTTGAGTATTTGGGGAGAATTTGAAAATGTGTGGTATATCACAGAGAATATGCTTGTGGGACTGGAAGGCTTGATTGCTTAAATAGCATTTATACTTTCTAGATGTTTGAAAATAAATTTGCCTCTTTTTTTTCTAGGCTGCAGAGATTTTTGATGGTGGAAATGGTGAAACCCAAACTACCTCTCCTGCCATTCCTTGGGCTGCTTTTCCTACAGGTACTACTATGCAGTAACTAGAATTTTTTTTTTTTCTTATTTAACACTTTGCCTTTTCTTTGAAAGCCTCTTTTTACTTTTGCACTTGGCCTTCTTTGATCTGAAAAATGGAATGATCCAGATTTAATTTAGGTTTTTTTCATAACATATTATAAATTGTATAACAAATTCTGCAGTGTGGCTTGAGGCATGATTCCAAATATGATATCATGAACATTAAATGAAATTAAAGTATAATTTACATTTCCTAATTCATCTTAGTTTTAGGAAAATGAAGTACCAAATAATATTTTTAGGCTGTCCAGTTCGTTAATTAAAAAGACTTCTTATTCTCATATTCTAAAAATATCCTAAAGTAATTTAATATCTTCATCAGTATTTAAATTTAGAAGTGTTCCCCCCACCCCCGGAAGGTCATTCAAAAGTATTAAACATTAAAATTTAGCCATCCAAGAAATCAAATGCAAAAATAAATTCCATTATGAGAGATATTTTATGGAAGACCTAATGTTCAATATTAATATAATTCATGTATAAGTAATATTTTGAATTTTCTAGACCTTTTGTTTTGCCAAATCATTGTAAAGTCAGAAGTAGAAGATGAAAGTATCCTTCTTTAGCAGCTCCGCTTAGTCTTTAGATCATTAGAGTTATTCAGCCTCCAAATATTTTCCCAGTGCTCATTATGCATTAGGTGCTATGGGAATGTGTCCTTTACTTCAAGGGAAGATAGGACAGGCACATACATACTTGTAATATGAAGCAGATTTGTGATTGGGGAAGAATGATGATTTCATCATCCATTTGTTTAGCAAATGTTTATTTCATGCCTCGTATGAGTCAAGTACTATCCTTGAAGCTGGGTATATATTATTGATCTGGGCTTTGAAGGATGTTTATGATTTGAATAGGCAGAGATGGGAGAATGGGGAAAGATTTTGAAGGGAGAAAAAGCAATGAAACAAAGGTGTAAATGTGGGAAAGAGGATGACATAGTTAGGATGCTCATTCTTGTTTGAGGTATTTATGTACGTGGTTTCCTTTGCCTGGAATTTCTCACCTTGTTTCCCACCGCTGCTCTCTCCCGCTCCCTTATCATACTAACTCCTATTTGTTTTATGTGCTGTTTTTTGCTTTAATATGCCTTTTTATGGGAAGCCTTCCCAGAGAACCCTCCCACGTCTCTTTTCTGACTTGCAGTTTAGGCTGTGAATTTTGTGGGGTTAGGCATTATGTCTATTTGTCCTTTTGTTATGTCTTCAGTGCCGAGGATAGTGCCTAGCTTATAGTTGGTCCTCAATAAGTATTTATAGAAAGAGTAATTAAAGATAAAAAAAAGAATGAGGAAAGCCTTGGTGGCCCAGTCGGGTAAGTGTCAAACTCTTGGTTTCAGTTCAGGTCATGATCTCAGGGTTGTGAGATCAGCCCCACCTCTGGCTCTGGGCTCAGCAGGGAGTCTGCTTGAGATTCTCTCCCTCTGCCCCTTCTCCCTGCATCACTTGCTTGGCACTTTGGCCATTTTTTTTTAAATTGTGGTAAAATAACATACACAATTTACCATATTAACCATTTTTAAGTGTTTAGTTCAGCATTGTTAAGCATATTCACACTGGTGTGCAACCAATCTCCAGAACGTTTTCATCTTGTGAAACTAAAACTCTGTAGACATTAAAGAATAACTACCCATTTGCCCCTACCCCCAACCCCTGGCAGCTACCATTCTATTCTCTGTCTATTTTAGACAACTCATATAAATAGAATCATACGGCTTATTTCACTTGGCACAATGTTCACAGGCTCATCCATGTTGTAGCGTGTGTTAGAATGTCCTTTTTTAGGCCTGAATAATATTCCACTATATGTACAGACCACGTTTTTCATCCATTAATCCATTGATGGACACTTGGGTTGCTTCCTTTGACTATTGTAAATAATGCTGCCAAAAGATGGGTGCACTAATTTATATTTTTAAAAATATTTTATCACTATGACTGCTGTCTCTATGTGCCTACTTTATTCTAAACCTTGGTGGGTAGAGACTGTGTTTTAAACCTTGGTGAATCCTAAGCACTTAGTACAGCATTGTGCCTTGTTAATAAGCAATGCTCAGTAATTATTTCTTGATGATTAGTAGAACAGATTTGCTATCAGAAGTAACTCCTGTTTAAAAAGTTTTTATTTGGGGTGCCTGGGTGGCTCAGTTGTTAAGCGTCTGCCTTCAGCTCAGGTCATGATCCCAGGGTCCTGGGATCGAGCCCCACATCGGGCTCCCTGCTCCATGGGGAGTCTGATTCTCCTTCTCCCACTCCCCCTGCTTGTGTTCCCTCTCTCGCTGTGTCTCTCTCTGTCAAAAAAATAAATAAAATCTTTAAAAAGTTTTTATTTAATTTGTTAGCATATACTGTTATTAGTTTCAGGTGTACAATATAGTGATTCAACAACAGTAACTCTTTTTAATTATTTTTAATTCTTTGGAGGTAATTAAATAGTCTTTCAATCACAAGGTAGAGGAAGGCAAACCTAAACTTGCCTTAAAAAATATAGTAATCTTGGAAATCTTAGATAATTAATCAAAGATGGCAAAGAAGCTATTCTCTAGGGTTCAGTTAAATTTCCCGGTCATTCCCAATACAGACAAATGACTTGGAAATAACGATTAACAAGAATAGTCAGAGATTTGCAGAAAAAGAGAAAACAGCTATTTTGTCTGGTCCTACTTTGTGGCAGCAGGTAACAGTAGAGGAGAGTAGAGGTTAGACTAAATTTTAGTTCAAAAATATTAGGGTCTAGAAGCAATAATAGTAGTACCCAGTTCCTTTACTTACTTTTTAAATTTATTTTTCTAAATATTATTCTGAAGGAAAATCATTCCAGATTTTGCATAGCATATAATATCAGAAAGTTTTTGAGTTAGCTACTCATAGAGCTGTATTTTTTAGAAAAAGAGTTTTTTCTTTTTCTAAGTCTGAGATTTTTTTTTTAAATCATTCTCAACTATCTTATAAATTTTTATAAGACTGGTAATGTTCTACTTTTTAGGAATCTACCTTTTCAAAGTGAATGCTTATCTTCTGATACACACACATATGCACCTATAAAAGCAAATATATATATATATATCAGAATATAGATATACAAACATAGACACTCTGATTTCTTCTCTTTTCCTCATTTTTACCCCATAATGCAATTTGTCCTCCCTATCGTACCCTTTTGAAGGAAGGACTTTCTCTTTTCTTGATCTTACAGGTCCTAAGAACATTAGACTATTAGTCTTAGTTTGGGTTCAGTATGTTTTTTGATTGTTTTCTGATTGTAGCAGACCCAAAGTTTCAGAATCCATGGGATTTCTTTAAATGAATTCTTTAGTTTTTTTGTTGTTGTTCATGCATTCACTAATTCACTCATGTATCAAATGTTTGAAAGTATACTGTGTATCAGACACTTAAGTGCCATGTGCTGTGGACTTTTCCATTTTCAGTGATGCCGTATGAAAATTGTCATCTCAAATGACTGAATGTTTCATGAAATGGCATTGTTGATATTGTTAAGTGCTTTTATCAATAACTTTAGCTTCAAATATTTGATAGAGGTTTCATGAAAAGAATATTAGGTCAGAAAGTGTTGTCACGTTGCCATTGTGTGCAGTGTGGGTGGTGCTGTTTTAGAGGCAAATGACTGTTCACTTTTTACTTTTTAACTGTATAAATATAAATTGTCTAGAAGGCGAGGTGGGAGGCGAAACCTTGAATAGTGTCCTTTCCAATATGTTTCTAACTTACTTGTAGCACTACACAGAACCACATTAGAATGCATTGACCATCAAAGGGAAAAACAAGTGGTCTAGATAGATACTTTAATCCAAATTAGCTCCTTCAAAACAGCTTATATAGAGGGCAAACTAAACTGTCTGTCACAAGCCGACCCTTTAGAAGGAATAATGGGAATTGGACCAGCAGATGTTGAACCAAATAACTTAGATGTGGTTCACTTTGCATCTGGAGCTATTTGCATACAAAGCCAACAGGAAAGTTCAAACATTTTTCTCAAGACATTGGCAGAGAGAAACCTGGAAGACAGATGCCTTTTTGATTTCATGGTTCAGTTTTTCCATTCTCCATTCTCCTGGCCAGGAAAACCTAGGACAACAAATCGGTCATTTTATTAATATCCCATTACTCTTCTTGCTAACCCTGTTTTTCCAGTAGAATCTGTGTTACACATCTACAAGAGCTCAGAACCTGAGTCCACACATTTTTGTTTGAGAAAATATTGTTGTGATATTTTTCTTGAGATTGATCTGTGGTTTGCACATAGTCATAGTAAACATTAACTGAATTCATTGGTCTGATCTATATTTTGAGTAAAATTTGAAAGTGACTTATATACATACTCGTTATTTTATTATTTATTTATTTATTTTAAAGATTTTTTTATTTATTTGATAGAGAGAGACACAGCGAGAGAGGGAACACAAGCAGGGGGAGTGGGAGAGGGAGAAGCAGGCTTCCCACTGAGCAGGGAGCCCGATATGGGGCTCGATCCCAGGACCCTAGGATCATGACCTGAGCCAAAGGCAGATGCTTAACCGACTGAGCCACCCAGGCGCCCCCATACTCGTTATTTTAATAGACAGTTGGATAATGTTTAAAAACTTCCCATCCCTTCAACTCTGTATCCACATTAGACATTTTTGACAGGACATAAACTGGATTTCCATTGTAGTATAATAATTTTGTAGTATCTTTATACAGATTGTTTGAATGGATGATTGTCAGATAGTTTCCTTTTGCTACTTTCCGTATTTTTTTCTTAACTCCCAGGTTATTAACTCACTTTCTTTTATTCTAGAACCAGTTTTTATAAATGATAAGTAAGGTGATAGCTTCTATGAAGCTGTGAGTTATTACTATATGTGTAATATTAATTTTCAGTAATTTATGGTAGTTCCTGTCTTCATTAATTGCATATAATAGGGAGGGCGCCTGGGTGGCTCAGTT